TGTAAAGTCTTACGAGGCAGTAAACTAGAATTTGGGAAACTGAAAGAAGTGTGTGTGAGGTAATACTGAAACCTGTCTTGAAGCAGGGTGCCACTGGGGGAGATGAAATTTCATTTTCCTCAACTTTTTATTCATATTGGAATGATTAGTCTGATTGACTCAAAAACAAGTGCTTATGTAACCACTCTTATGTGTTCATAGTCATTCGTTTATCCATTTTCAGTAACTGTCCTTAAAAAAAAAAATCAGGTTTTTTTCCCCTAGAGATTTTATTTTTTTAAGCAATCTCTACATCCAACATGGAACTTGAACCCACAACCTGAGATCAAAAGTCGCACGCTCTATGGACTCAGCCAGCCGGGCACCCCTAGGGTTTTGTTTGTTGTTTTAATTTTTTAAATGTAACAAAGTAAGTTAGTGTGGTTGGCTGTATTTTAGAAATCACCAATACACAATTAAAAGGGGAATTAAAAAAAACCCAAATGTCTGATATGTGACTGGGTTCCTGAGGCTTGGGATATCGTTTCCCGCGAAAACATAATACATAAGTTCAAGAAGTGCCGTATCACGCTTTCAGATGGACATGGAAATGATGGACTTTGGAAATATGTATAAATGGCCCGAAAAATGACTCTCGTGAAAAGGATGCCTGTGAAGAGTAGAACATTGTTTTTTGAAATGTGAGAAGATGTAAGCAATATTTACATTTCACCATTTTTTATATCATAATGATTCTAAATGTGTCACGAAATAAACTTAAACATAAATAGACACCTGATTATGTCATCTATAGTCCCTATACAGTTCAAGTAGGCCCCAAAACTTTTTTAAAAATCTCTTTGAAAAGGTGGGGAAACACCTTGTTCTAGGACACACACTGGGAAGGAACACATTAGCAAATGTGATCGTCCTGGAGGATTCTGGGTCCTTTGATTTCTTCTTTTTTTTTTTTAAACAACACGCCAAGTATTTAATGATCAGAGATGCAAACAATACAGCTTTTTAAATGTGAAGCTCACCCAAGAACACGATATAAAGTAGTAGTCCTCACCCTTGGCCACACCCTGGAAACATCTGGGGAGCTTTAAAAGAAAAAACATCCCACGCCTGGTCCCACCCTCGGTGATGCTAATGAGCTGGTTTGGGCTGGGGCCCAAGCCTTGGGGTTTCTTAAAACTCCCCACGTGACTAATACGTTGCTTTGCGAGGAGGAGAAGCATGGAAGCAAAATTTTTCCAATTTTTTTTGGCAGAACATGTTACTAAGTGTCTTTTAGAAAATAAAAAGGTCCCAGAGCCAAAGAAGCAGGATTCTTTCCTGCAAGATTTCTGAGCCCGTAAAATGCAAATGTGGACCATGACTTCTGCGGGAAGAAGCCACAGTGCAAGGGGGACACCTGTGTGAGTCTGTGTCTGTCTGTCTGTCTGGTCAACATTCTTTCTTTCGAGCAGCTGTGCCATCAGCAAGCCCTGTCCACCCCACCTCCTAACCCGCCCCCATCCTCCCTCTCCTTGTCCTACTGTGGTCCTGCTTTCCATGGTCTCCTGTCTGAAGCAGCCACCGCCCCTACAATTCATTAGCCACAAAAGTGAGCTAGTGAAGGTGCCTGGGGCACACAGAGTTTGAAAAAGCTTTTGCTTCCAACTGACACTGCCTACAGTGTCCCTAGGTGCCACACTAGGACTGTGGACGGGGCCTGCCTTAAAGTGAAGGCAGCCAGGGCTGTGACAGAATGAACCTGGGTCCTCAATGCCACCGTGCAGCTGCCAAGTCATGGGCCCAGAAGGCGGCCCAAAGAACCCCTGGACTTGGGAGTTGGGGAGTCCACCCATTCCCCAACAGCCTCAACTAACACAAATGGGGTTTCCTGTTATTTGTAGCCAAAAGCATCCACGCCCTACACTCTCTGTGAAAGCACCCTATTTATTGGTCATACTCATTTTCCCAGGGGAAATCACCTTATTTCTTTTTCTCGCCGCCTCCACAACAGCAGAGACATTTGTCTGTCCTGTTCACCGCTCTGTCCCTAGTACCTGAAACACCACCTGCCAAAGAGCAGGGACTCGCTATTTGCTGAAACAATGACTGAGCTCAGTTCTGGCAACAGCTCCTCAACGTAGGTGTTCCAAATACCCAACTCCTCCCAATGTCTCCCCGTTGTCACCCTGCACTTCCACTGGCCTTTCAGCTCCTTCGCAGAGCCGTGCTCTTCCCAGGCCAGAACTCTGAGGATGCTGTTCCCTCTACCGGGAATGCTCCCTCACATTTCACTAAGGTCCTCTCTTCCCTCCGGCCTCCCCTCAAGTGTCAGTCCTTACCACAGACATCTCCTGACCCCTCCAAACACATCAGGCCTCCCTGGGAAATGCCCTTGCGGTCCCTCCATCGGGGCACTTAGTGCAGATGCAATCACACAGCTGTTTCTCAGATTCTGGTTTCCTCCCCTGAACTGAGTTCCAGGAAGGTGGGGACCCCTTTGTATTTCCAAAGCCCTAGAGGGCCTGGCACACAGAAGGTGCTTAATAAATCGCACAACTGACTATTGTGGCCAGGACACTTACTGCTCACTGAACACTTTCCAGCCCCCATGCGACAAGTGCTGGGTGTGAGCAGAACTGAACTGTGTTACCCTGGGCCTTGGCATCTAAGTGCTATGTGACTCTGTCATTCCCTCTCCTGCCAGTGACCCTGGAAGCTACTGTTCTAGTCGTGGGGCTTCAAGACGGGAGCCCCCGTCGACCTGCATCTCTGAGGTACAATATAAAGCACCCCCCACCTGACCTGCCTGGTGTCACGAGTGAGGAAATGACATCTGTGGGGTCCAGCTTCTAGGATTTCGGGGTCAACCTGTTACCGCAGCAGAATCTTGCCTATTCCTGTGAATGGAGGCAGGCAGCTCGATGCAGAGACCATTGTGACCACAGATGGGACATGAGGAACAAGGCGGTGTGGTGTGCCCTCTGGTCACCAGAAATGAACCTCAGTGAAGGGAAGAGAGAATAAGGGGATGGAACAACTCGTCCCTGGGGAATTGTCACTTTCAATTCCTGATGTGAGGGATGAGAGGACCCAGAGGGGCGCCCCCCCCCCCCCGGTCCCCAGACAGAGCCTGCCTGGGGCTCTCATCAAACACAGCTCCTTAGGGATCCCAGCCAAGTCTCAGCCCCTGGGGACTGGAGGAGGCTGCTCAGAAGCCAGCAACGGCCTGGAAAACCCGATTAGCTAGAGGAAGCTGAAGCAGCAAGGCTGCAGGAAAGGGCCTGGGCTAATTCGGGCTGACAACCTTCCCTCGGAATCACCCACTGGGGCTCTGCCCTCCCGGCTCCATCCCAGAGAAAAAAAATCACACTGTCAGGTCTAATTTGGGATTCGGCTGACGGGCTGAGCAGAGCATCCATGCGTTCTGGTCACAGAGGTCAAGGGCAGCCCACACGCTAGTGGCCAGTGCTGAAAGGCCCCAGGACTAGTGAGTTGGAAAAGGACTGGGAAGCCAACAGCAGTGGGTTTCCAACACACACGAAGGTCGCTCTGCTCTGCTCCCACGAGATTTCTGGCCCAGGCCTTGGCGGTACAAGCCCGTTCCCAGAGGACAGCGCTGCTATATCCAGCCTGGGGCTAGATGCAAAGTAAATAGTCATATTTGGTAAATAAATCATAACGGCACCAGTGAGTGCTTATTATCTTATAGGTCGGAGACGAAGCTGCCTAACCTCTGACACACAGTAAAGGCTAATGCAGATAAGCCTTGATCACCCACCACCTCCACCACCTTGTCTATTATGTAACTACTTGGCACCAGGCACTACTCTAAGTATCTGAGCTCCACAATCACTTTTCAGTTCTCAAGGCTTAGGAGGCCCCTGGGTTGCACTCCCTACACTGGGCTTAGCTGGGCCCTGGAGCCTGTGCTCTTGGCCACCATGTCAAACCATTTTTGATATCGCCATTTTGATTTCAAGAAGCTTGCCCTGAAATCCCAAGGCAGGGTTTGGTGTCCCCTCTGAGTTTCTGCAGCCCTGTGGCTTCCCGTGTTAGAGCTCTCATCACTCCAGGCTGTTTACCTACAGAGCTCTCCCCAAATACTATCTCTCAGGAGGGCATCCCTGTAAGCCTAGGGCCCAGCACCGGACTGGGAAATGGTAAATGCCCCATGTCTGTGAGACGGATGGATGGTGACCCAAGTCCCAATCCCTCATTTTACAGAGGAAGCGGGGGTGGAGATTCAGAAAGAAGAGCTGTAAGGGGTAGTTTCACTGAAGAAAGGGGACATGGAGAAGGAGAAACTGCTCCTTGATGAGTCTCTTCCTCCTCTAAGGCCCAAAGCTGCTTCCAGGAGCCTCTTCTGACCTCGGGGCTAGCGAGGTGAGGTATCTCCTCTGGCGGCCCATCACCCCCTGGGCTTCCCCCCATCCAACCCTCACCGCTCTGGACAGTCACTGTCACTGAGGGCCTGCCTCCCTCACTGGATGAGGAGCCCCACAAGTGCAGGGTCCACCCGGCCATGAGCTAGTCCCCACACCACCACACTACAGGGCTGGACACAGAGGAGGCTCATGGTTAAGTGTGTGTTGAATCGGCCAGCAGAACCCCAAGAAAGGAAACAAGGCCAGAGCCTCATTCTAGGAAGAGGAATTAAAAGCACAGATGCAATTTGGAAAGGGGAGAGGCCAGGAGAAGTCTTCTCAGCCACCGATCCGCAAGCCAGGAAGAAGACGTGGGGTTCGTGCTGCTTACCAGGACTGGACCAGACCCAGGGAGAGGTAGTTAATGCAGCGTGGATGTGGTTCACAAGAAAGCTTTGTAATGACTGAAACCTCCCCAAAGCAAAATATGTGGCCCTGTTCCTCCCTGGCTGGAAGGATTTAAACCGCGGTCACAGAGCCAGCAGTCTGGGACCCCAGGACCTCTTATGAGGTAACAAAGCGCAGTGCCAAGAGTGAAGACTCTGGAGACAGACTGCAAATGTCCCCGCCCTTGCTACTCTACTTGGTTAAGTGGCTTCACCACTCTGTGCCTCAGTTTCCAAGTCATTACTGTGGGGGAGATCACAGCAGCGACTTCACAGGGTGAGTGCGGGCGGGTGGGGGGGAATGAGATCATGCACGTAAAGTGCTCAGGGAAGGGCTGGGCACAGAGTCAGGACCCATTAATGTTAATGATTATTGTTTTTCTTTCCCTGTGGAGCCAGACACTGTTGGCTAGCTAACCCAACTGACATTCTTAAGTCCCTCTTCCCCTGGTTTCTGCCACAGGAGAAGCTGGACAGCTAAATGAAATTTCCCACCTTCCCTGGAGCTATGGGAAGCCATGTGACACATTTCTGTCCAGTGAGATGTAAGCGGAATCTTCTAGGGGGATTTTGGCGGGGGGTGGGGGGTGGGAATACTCAAGCAGCTCATGACTGGAAAAGACGTGCTGCTTGGGGACCTTCCCCTCCTTGTCATGGCTAGAGCCACAGCAGCCACCTTGCGACCTCGAGGGGAAGGCTGAGCGAATCCAAGAAGCTCCAGACCAGACACCACTCAGCCTCTGAACCAACCTCTCAGCCAAGTACCTCTGGGTTTGTTGTTACAGGACAGAAATCAATCCTCATTTTTTTCTTTTTAAAGATTTTATTTATTTATTTGACAGAGAGAGAGATAGTGAGAGAGGGAACACAAGCAGGGGGAGTGGGAGAGGGAGAAGCTGGCTTCCCGCTGAGCAGGGAGCCGAATGTGGGGCTTGATCCCAGGACCCTAGGATCATGACCTGAGCCGAAGGCAGATGCTTAACGACTGAGCCACCCAGGCACCCCAATCCTCATTTGTTTAAACCACCATGAGCTGGGTTTTCTGTTCTTGCAGCTAAAAGCATTCCTGGCTGATGCACCCACCATAACACAAATGGCTCAGGGCACAAGTCCATGCTAACAGTTGGCCAACCTCCGTTCAGGTCTTTGGGTGAGAACCCCTGACCTAGAGGAGAATGTGGCAGACTGGGCCTGAACAGTGCTTACGAAGCCTCAGTCACCATATTCTGCTCTTCCTTTTCAGCTGTATCTAGTCCCATCTGTGTAATTATTCACTTAATACTTTCTTTAAACCACTTTATTTTCATTTTTAAAATTTTATTTTTAAGTAATTTCTGCACCCAGCGTGGGGCTCGACCTCACGACCCCAAGGATCAAGAAGAGTTGCACAACTCCACCAACTGGGCCAGCCAGGCTCCCCAGTAAACCAATTCGTTTTTAAACTTAAATATATATGTATATGTATACATATATTTATGTACATGTGTATATGTATATGTAAATATATATATGTATATTTAAAAAGGAAACCACAGTACTACCAAAATGAAAAGTTGGCATCCTTTGCTGCAAAAGTAACTTAATAACTAATAATAACAAATACAATGTAAACAAAGTATGTTCCTCCACAAATCACTGAAAATTAATCTGATGTAACATAATTTGGGTTCATTGGACTGGTAAGAATCCTTCATTTTTGCCTTCTATCAGGGAAAAAAATATCAGAAGATCTGGCAATGCTCGGCATTCTCACAGGGGAACTGAGGGTGAGAGCTACGTAGGGGCGGCCCCTCGGAGAGGGGCCACATTGTCCTGTTTGCCAGGATTCCCAAAACCCTGTTCTGAAGTGAGATAACTGGTTTAGCTCTCCCGCAGGCCCGTGGAAGAATTAGGTTGGGCACCTGCCTTACTGATTCCATTCGGGGCCTCCTCAGAGAGGCCTTCCCCGATTACCTTGCCTAAAATTGCCCGTTTCTCCCAACACACCCCTTCCTGCTTGACTCGTCGCTGTACTTCTTCTCCCCACCCAACTTCTCCTACGTTCACCTGTTTGTCTGTTATCTTATTCTCCAGGAGAATGTCGGTTCCCGTAGGGAAAGGATTCTGTTTTGTTCATTCCTGAAGCCCCAGCGCCTAGAACATCACAGAAGGGGTTTAAATGCATATTTACTGTTATGGTCGGGAAGCACAAGGGAAGACTGAGGAACCATTTTAGCCTGGAGAAGATGAAGCAGGCAGGACAACCACACAGTGTGGCATCCTGAGTAGGATCCTGGCATAGAAGAGGGTCACTGGCGGAAAAGTAGCAAAACATGACTAAACCCTGTGATTTAGTTCATCCTACTGGGCCAGTGCTCATTTCCTGGTTCTGGTAATCGTGACAAGGTACATTAAGATGGTAACGTGAGGGGACACTGCGTGAAGGGTCAACATGTGAATTTTCCATACATTTTCTGTGACTTTTTTGAAATCTAAAATTCCTCCAAAACAAAGTTTTTTTTTTTTGTTTTTTTTTTTAAGATTTTATTTACTTATTTGAGAGGCAAAAGGGAGAAGCAGGCTCCCAGCTGAGCAAGGAGCCCAATGCAGAGCTCGATCCCCAGGACCCTGAGATCATGACCCGAGCCGAAGGCAGACGCTTAACCGAGCTACCCAGGCGCCCCCAAAATAAAAAAGTTAAGAAAGAATTGTGCTAAGAAGCATTCTTTGATGGAAATTTGGCCCCTTGAGACTGTCCCACAAACACACTCCGGGTACGTGGGCAGAGCCTTAGGCCAGGAGGAAAGAATGTGAGGAGATCCAACAAACAGCCAAGAGAGAAGTGGCTGTCTGGATTCGCTCAGTTCCCAAAGCTTGACTCCCTGGTCCCTGCAACTCGGCCAACAGCACTACCTGCATGCAGTCTGGATGCCAGAATCTTCTGGTCTCCACTTTCCATACTGTTAGGGTCATCTGGTGCTCAAGGATCAGACTATGTCCCCACTCCCACTGCTCCCGAGCACCCTGACTGCATCCTGCCAACAAAGGTCGGTGTCCTCATTTACGAACACCCCACTAGCAACTGGAACGTCACTGCTTAGTCTATGCCAAAGAAACAAAAGAGGATGTTCACTAGCAAAAACTCCTGGAACCTAATTATAATATATTCAAAATCTTTCTATTACAGGTATTTACTATGTGTACATATTTTAATTACGTGTAAGTACCTATACTGTATACTTAGCCTGAAGAGAAACAGCACATCCACACGGGGGGGGGAGGAGGGCGGTGAGGGGATCAGTCTGTATCTTGATTGGGGTGGCAGATACACAACCGAATGCATTTGCTTCAACTCAAAAGAACTGGACATCCAAAGAGTGGATTTTATTTTGCGTAAATTTTAAAAAGTAAATGGAGTTAAAATTGAAATTAAAATTTAATTTAAAAAAAAAGTGTAATACACCGACAGATGCTATGAACCAAGATCTCTAAGCTCCACCATTGCTGGGGACAGTGGGAAACGACACAGGGCATGGCCTCTTCTCTCTTCATACTGCAAAGCACGTAAGTGTGTCTCTGCATAAGGAGGGACTGTTCGTGTGCGGGAAGAGGTCTGGCAGGATGCCCCCCGACTGCTGACGTAATTACCTCCGAGGGAGGACGTCAGGCTTGCGGGTGACGTGTAGGACAGTGAAGGAGACTTCCATTTTCCCTTTGATACCTTTTCAAGTAAAAATAACAGAGGCCTATGTGTCCTAGCCGCACAATTTAAGCAAACAAAGAGCCACACTGTACTCACCCTCCGGATGTTCTGGACACTAGTGCTCCTTGAGGGTCCCAGGAGAGCCAATGTCAGAGACTGTGCATCTACAGAGAAGTACAATACGAGGTCATGTCTTTGGCCAATGTGAGCCTTCCTGCTCCAATTTCTGTCAGTCACAAATTCACTCCCTCAACGAATACTTATTGAATACCTGCTCTATGCTAGGCACCAAAGGTACGCCGGTGACCAAGACAAAGTCGCTGTCCTCAGAGAGCAGACATTCTAGGAGGAGAGGAAGACAATAAATAATGCGGAGTCAGGGAGTGGTGAGTGTCTTGAAGGAAACTAAGCAGGGTGAGCAGAGTGATGGGCCTGCTGCTTCCCAGACTGGTCAGAGAAGGACTGAGGAGAGGACAGACACTTCAATGCAGGAGGACCACAGACTATGTGACTGTCTCGGCAAGAGCCTTCTAGGCCACGGGAATGAATGGCCAATGCAAAGGACCTGAGGCACAGTACGTGTGTGGAGCATTTTAGGAGCCAGCAGAAGGCCTGTGTGCCCGGCGCAGGGTGAGTGAGGGGACGAGCTGAGGGAGGTGACAGGGGCAGATGGAAGGCCATTATGAGGATATTTCCTTCAGACAACTCTGAGCAGAGGAGTGGCAGAGAAACAGCACTTGTCCTGACTTGTAACTTTATATTATTAATTTATGTCTTAAAATATTTAGTATGGTTGTTCATATGTGAACGGATATTTCCTGAAAACTTTATATTATTAATTCATGTTTCTGAATATTTAGTAGGGTTGTTCATATTTGAATGGATATTTTATGGATGAATGAATGTCTCCAGGCTGAGCGGCCACTGTCCATAGTGTTCACCCTCACATTTCAGTTGAGGCCAGGTACTTAACTGAGGCAGGGAGGCGAGATCTGAGGGGATAATCTAGAACCTTCCTGTAAGAAATGGCCATTCAATTAATGACTCTCAATCCTTATGTGCCAGGCTCTGTCCTCACAGACACATGCTGACTCATTTCACTCTCTCAATAACCTAAGAAGTAGACACTATGATTTCATCCTGCTAGGGAACTGAGGCACAGAGGGGGTAAAGAACCCACTGGCTGAGGCTGCCCAGCCGGTCAGAAGTATGTTACAGCTGGGATGAACCCTGGCAGCCTGGATCCAGGGCTTGGCCAGGCCAACAGTCATGGTGATCCATGAATAGAGAGCTAACTATAGGCTGGCAATACCTCCCTGCCCCACTCCCCCCAATCCCACAGTGTCCGAATGCTACCCAAACACCAACACTGAGCTCAAACTCCAGCCAGCTCCTCAATGAAGCTCCCCAGGAGGAAACCTAGCAAGCAGCTAGCCAACGTTCCAGAATCTAGGAATCAGGTTATCAATCTTCAATAATCTTGTTCCTAGAGGTTCCTGGAGAAGCCAAAAGGGCTTCTTAGCCTTTCTCATGCCACAGACCCCTGTTGGCAGCCTGCTAAAGAAGAGTGTGGACTCCTCAGAATCATGTTTTTAAGTGTACAAAATACAATACACAAGGTTATAAAGAAAACCAATTATACTCAGCTATCAAAGTATCTGTAAAAAAAAACAAACAACCTAATCTGAGATACAGTAATATTCGTGCTTCTTTATGAATGCTTTAAATTACGAGATCCTAGTGGTGGGTCCAATAACTAGAGTAATCTAGAAACAGAGGAGTATAAATGATATTGCACAATGTCTGCAACAACTGTAATGTGATATGGAAATGTTTTTACCTTCTAGTGGTGACAAAGTCACAGATATTGGCAGTACAGTGTGGACTGTGGCCCTCCATTTGGAAGGAAAGGAAGAGCTAAATTTCAGATGGTAGAGGAAATAAACACGTAACTTTCTCCCCCAGCCAACTTCATGGTCCTCCGAATTCTGTCCTCGGATAGAAGGGTCCATGGACCTGAGATTAGGAATCCGGAAGCCAGACGCCAGACAGGGTGAAGGTGGAGCAGCAGGTTCCCCAGGGAGGTAACTGGTGAGCTCAGGGGCAGATTCAGATCCTTGTGAGTTGTATGGGAAGGGGTCCCTTTCTGAGTCAGTCCCCTGAACCTTACCTTTCCCCCTCAGCACCTGGAATTCCTGTGGGAATGCCCCCCACCTCCACCATGAGTTGGCAGGGAAGGGGGAGGGCTGGTCATATGATCCAGGCCGGGCCAATAAAGCCACTGAACCTCCTCTTCCCTGCTCCTGGCCTCAGAGATGGCTCAGGGTGGCCCTGGCATTGAAGCCTGGGTGATAAGTTTTAATAAACAGTGGCCTCAGGACATGTCCTGGGACTATAAGGAAAGAGATGGTTTCTTTCTCCTGGGGCGCTGCTTAGCTGGTTGGATATATACGTGGACCTGCCTCAGAGCCTATCTGACAACGAAATCAATGCAGAGGAATACAGAGTCAGGAAGTAGAAGGAAACGGGGTCCTGGCCACCTCCTGTGAGGCTCTGGATCTAGCCACACCTGAAGCCGTTCAGTACAGAATGTCCCAGGCCTTGAGTTCAAACACTTCCTTTGATACTTAAACAGGCTGACCTGAATTCCCATTTGTTCACAAAACCAAATGACTTGATTAACACCGAAGGGAAGAGCTGAGTGCAGTTCTTGACAATTCCCATAGCTTACTACCAAGCCATTTAGGAAAGCACAAAAGAAAATTAGATACAGTTACTATACATAGAAACACCAAACAGAAAAACATGTATTCTTTAAAAGCTCAGAAATAGTCTCTTGGGTAGTTGCTTTCCCTGCGCTGGTCTATGAAGCCCTGAAAATTGTAGTTTTAAGATGCTTCACAGGGCAGGAGGGAATCAGAGGCACCCAGAACATTTTCCTTTATCACCAGACTTTCCATTAAAAAAAAAAGTCCTGGGATGATCAGGAAGCCCCTGCAATAAAGCTCCTGTAAAATTTTAATAGCTGCCTTTTCAAATGGCAGTGGAATTGCTTTTCTGCCGCTCTCATTCTCCCCCTTCCCTTCTCTAGAGTGATGTATATGGCTCTTTAAAGGCACACCAGCAGGGACGTGCGGCAGTGGGAGCTGTCATGTCCATCAGTACGGGAGATGGGAGAGGTCACAGCAGAGGGGAGGATGCTGAGGGGCCGGGGAAACGGCAGCAAAGGTGGGCTGCAGGGTCAGCAATCCAGCCAGAGCTCCCAGAGGCCCTCCTCACACCACCTAGGAAAGGAGGATGGGCTTGGAGTTGCCTTAGCCATCCCAACACATCCACCAGAGCAACACCCACCAGGCCCACCTGTCTGTCACACAGGCTACACTCACAGGGCCACGCATCACGCTTCCCAGGGCTTACACCAAGAAACAGAATCCCAGGTGACAGCACCTGGGGGTGAGAGGGTATCCTGGCCTGACTCCCAGCCTGACTGGTTCCTCCCCTCGGCCACAGCGATTGGCTCTGGGAGAGACACATGGTCCACACAGGGCCAATCAGTGTAGGCCCCGGAAGTGGGGGTGGGGAGAGGGCATGGGATGGAAGGCGGGGGCTGTTGAAGGCTCTCTGCCACCTGGAAGGGTGGGGGGCACCGGAGAATGAAGTCAAAGCTGAGAGAGGCCAAGCCCATAAGTGGAGAAGGGTGCGCTCCTGACAACGCCTGAGCGTTGACTCCGGTTGGGCCAGCCCAGGGACTTTCAGTCCCAAAGCCATTAACTTCCCTTTGCAGCTTCAGCCAGT